AGCAGTTACTAGAACAGAAGGAAAATGTAGATACTTACAAAATATGGCGACACTTTGAAATTTGATTGCCGATTTTTACTATTAATTTTTCAATATTGGGAGCCTAGAAATATGTGATTAACAAAAAGATTTTAGTTGTTTGTAATACAGAGATATCATGGATATCGTTTTGAGAAACAGTTGCGAGAAAAATACATCTAAAGTTTTGTATATTGTTTTGTATATTAATATATAAATTTTGTATATTAATACTTTGTACATAATTCATATTATGAATGATCAACACAGGCTGTAGCTTTCTTAATTTAAAGAATTCAGACATAAGGTTCTGTATAAGACGTATGTATAAACCTATGTTCTTCAAAAAAGTGTAAAACAAAATCGAATTTTTCAAAGATTCACACTAAAATACCCTCTTAATCTACATCAGGGCTCAGAATTAACGGCACGCAACATGACGATCTCGAGGGCTACGCCTCCTGACTCCCGTCGCCCGGCTCAGAGCATTATACGCGTATAGTAATAACTATTCATGGCACATTAGAGAGACGCTCGTTTATTTATGGAGGAACAAACATAATGCGCTTCTATAGATTTATAGATCTATATTTTAGACATTATACGGGGGGGGGGGGTTATACAGGGGTGTTTAAACACATTTAGGGTGTTATTTTACCCTGCACATACAAATATCTTCAAAAAAACACCCCGTATAAATACCTAGGATTTTATTTAGTATAAATTAAACAAATTTTAGTACAAATTGAAAACTTCTAGATCTAATAACATTTCAATTTAGTCAGCATTTGTCTGTTTTCAAGAATTTAACGAAGCTTAAACGAACAATAAGTATACAATAGTTGTTTGAGAAAAGAAGTGTGACAAAGAAATTTAGTGCTACGATCACATACTGGAAAATATATATACAGTAATAAATTAAGTAGTAACATCAACATTAACATAAATACAGTAACATTGACGTTAAAATAAATACAATAACATTTACATTAATGAAAGCACAATAACACTAATATTAATATAAATGTAATAACATTAACGTTAACATAAACACAAGAAAATTAACATTAACAAAATAATAATAACATTTGCATTAACAAAAGTACAATAATATTAACATTAATACAGATTTAACAATATTAACGTTAACATAAACATAAGAAAATTAACAATAACGAAAGAAGAATGACATTGTCATTAAAAAAATGACAACAACACTAATAATATTAACGGATTGAAATATTCGATCAGATGAATTCGATTTAACAAATGTCTCGTGTCACCTAAACACGATGCTGCTCATCACGGTACGTTCTCGCACAATAAATGCATAAATGAGACTGCCGGAAGTGCCGAAACGTTTCAACTTCCAAGTAACCTAATAAATCATCGTACACGTCGTTCAGTCGGCAGGAAAAACACTGCGCCGAAGTAGATTTAAGATCTCTAACGAGATTCAAACTCATTTTCCCGAGATAAATCGCTGGTTCCATTTGCAGCATAGTTTTCGTCACGGGCCGTGTCTAAACGATCACGCGAACTTCTCTGTTCGCTGCTCGCTGTTCGCGTGGATTGACATAATCTGTCGCGTTAACGAAGCCCTATCGCAAGCTGGTAGTCGGCCTGTCGTACATACTACCGCGTGCATTATCGCGAAACACGTGTACCCGATACCTGAGCAGCCTGACAATCGCTTGGCATCGTATAAGAGGGAATGGCCTCGGCCCCGGCCCCGTTAACCGGGGTGACACCTCGAAAAAGTAGTCCCAAAATACGCGGAACCAGCTCGAGTCTGTTACTCGAGTTCCTCGTTGTCGTTCCTGGGGGCGACCATATGTCGACCGCGGACGAGGATGCCGCCGGGTGGTTTTTCGTACTACGAGATGGCCCGGTATCTCATCCACCGACTCTTCTTGTGGCCCTTTATTGGAACGCGCACAGCTGAAGGCCCGGCATCGCGGGCTGGACTGAATTCCGGGAAATCTTCCGAGCCTCCCTCTTTTCATCGATTTACTGTTAGACAGGGCCGGGGAAAAATGGAAAATTGAAATCAGCGCGAACGAATCAGCACGCGTCACGTTTACTCAGGGTTGGGGAAAGATAGATTTTTGTGCGTGTGCGAATTAGTAAATAGACTATAAATATTTTTATCTTCTCGTGTAATACAGAATTTGGTAAATAAGATGTGTATAAGAGACAGCATTAACGTTAACATAAACACAAGAAAATTAACATTAACAAAATAATAAAGATGTGTATAAGAGACAGCATTAACGTTAACATAAACACAAGAAAATTAACATTAACAAAATAATAAAGATGTGTATAAGAGACAGCATTAACGTTAACATAAACACAAGAAAATTAACATTAACAAAATAATAAAGATGTGTATAAGAGACAGCATTAACGTTAACATAAACACAAGAAAATTAACATTAACAAAATAATAAAGATGTGTATAAGAGACAGCATTAACGTTAACATAAACACAAGAAAATTAACATTAACAAAATAATAAAGATGTGTATAAGAGACAGCATTAACGTTAACATAAACACAAGAAAATTAACATTAACAAAATAATAAAGATGTGTATAAGAGACAGCATTAACGTTAACATAAACACAAGAAAATTAACATTAACAAAATAATAAAGATGTGTATAAGAGACAGCATTAACGTTAACATAAACACAAGAAAATTAACATTAACAAAATAATAAAGATGTGTATAAGAGACAGCATTAACGTTAACATAAACACAAGAAAATTAACATTAACAAAATAATAAAGATGTGTATAAGAGACAGCATTAACGTTAACATAAACACAAGAAAATTAACATTAACAAAATAATAAAGATGTGTATAAGAGACAGCATTAACGTTAACATAAACACAAGAAAATTAACATTAACAAAATAATAAAGATGTGTATAAGAGACAGCATTAACGTTAACATAAACACAAGAAAATTAACATTAACAAAATAATAAAGATGTGTATAAGAGACAGCATTAACGTTAACATAAACACAAGAAAATTAACATTAACAAAATAATAAAGATGTGTATAAGAGACAGCATTAACGTTAACATAAACACAAGAAAATTAACATTAACAAAATAATAAAGATGTGTATAAGAGACAGCATTAACGTTAACATAAACACAAGAAAATTAACATTAACAAAATAATAAAGATGTGTATAAGAGACAGCATTAACGTTAACATAAACACAAGAAAATTAACATTAACAAAATAATAAAGATGTGTATAAGAGACAGCATTAACGTTAACATAAACACAAGAAAATTAACATTAACAAAATAATAAAGATGTGTATAAGAGACAGCATTAACGTTAACATAAACACAAGAAAATTAACATTAACAAAATAATAAAGATGTGTATAAGAGACAGCATTAACGTTAACATAAACACAAGAAAATTAACATTAACAAAATAATAAAGATGTGTATAAGAGACAGCATTAACGTTAACATAAACACAAGAAAATTAACATTAACAAAATAATAAAGATGTGTATAAGAGACAGCATTAACGTTAACATAAACACAAGAAAATTAACATTAACAAAATAATAAAGATGTGTATAAGAGACAGCATTAACGTTAACATAAACACAAGAAAATTAACATTAACAAAATAATAAAGATGTGTATAAGAGACAGAGTAAATAGACTATAAATATTTTTATCTTCTCGTGTAATACAGAATTTGGTAAATACTATTAATAGTAACACATGGAGAAATACTATTCTGAAATAAATATTTCATTATAATACAAGAAATATAAATATTAAATATAATTATTAAATAAAGAAATATAAATATAAGAAAATGATACTTCATCGAATAGTAATATTTTACGGAATAGTAATTTTTCCAGTCTGGATCCGAATAGACCCTGAGTCCGCTGTTCGAATGTTAATTTTTCGAACATTTTTCGAATATACTATCTTTCAAAATGAATTTCGGTGATATATTTTAGAAATATCTGTTACCGAAATATTTTCAGGGTTATAATTTCTTGGAAAACAAACGATAATCAAAGAAAAGGTCTGTTACGTCGCGAATGCATCGTCCATAGAAACTTTATATGAAGTGATTTACTACACGAACGACTGAAATCCGCTATCATTTAGAAAAATATGCCAATGGAAATTTCAATTGTCTGTAAAAAATTTATTTGATGCGGTCTGCACCACATATTTTCATTTCCTTGAGTTATAAAAATTACACATGTTAGCGTATAATTTTATATCATTTTATTGTTCATTATTTTCCTCGCACAAGTATTACATCGGCATCTGATTAGTGTAATCGGTAGACTGCGAATTTTATAGATTTATGAGAAAAGTGAGTAGGTGCAACTTAAAACAATGGAATGGTTTTAAAATAATTGAACAAAATCAACGCACTAGTTTCAACTAGTTATAATTATTAAAGAAAATGTGAAGCGTCTATGTGGCTCTTATCTCTTGCAAATGATGCAGTAATCAGGCAGAAGCTCGCTAGTTCTGTTAAACATCGTCAAGGCGCATATCAAAGCCAATATCTGAATTCTATTGTTTTACATGGCATTTATGCTAGTTGAAATAATTTTTGCTTTACAAGTTATTTCGGGTAGACCTGAAAAAAGCAACGCATGTTTCTATTGCTTGTGCAGCCTGAAAGTAATTATAACTATGTTATCATTAGGCTGCGGATTTTGTGAATTTATGACAAAAATGAATAAGAGAAATACAGAACTGTGGTGATACTGGGAGAATCTAAGAATATTGTTACACCATGAGATCGACCTCTGAAAATTATTAAAAGAGAGAATAAATTTTTATTTGTTTAGTATCTCCGGCAATGGAAGTAGACAATTCTGATTTTACGCAGAGTTCCGCTGCCTAGATATTATATTTGACAACAAGTATTAAAACTCGGCAAATTGTTCTGTTTCTTTCAGGCTCGAGTTTTGGAGTTTGGGGGCGCAGGATGAGTAAAAAGATAGATTCATTCCGGCGGGCTGGTTCCCGTGAAACGATTTGCTCTATATCGGAACGATCCGATAGCGGGAGCAACAACAACAACTGCACCATCAGTAACAACAACAACAACAACAACAACAACCGTCACGTAACATCGAAAATGGACCAATCATTGCCAGATTTCAAGCTAGAGACTAAACAAGAGAAGAGAATACCGAGCACGTTTCATAGATCACCGTCCCCCTTCAAATCTTTTTTCATCCGCATGGGTTCCACGGGGATGCTGAACTCGGCGAAAAGTAGCAGGCGTTCGCAAAATGTTGACGACAGACTGAAAACTTCCGAGAAGGAAAATCTGTTCAGAAGCTGCAGCACGAGTCAGCTGAACACCAGTCCGACCTACGTGAAAGGCGACGATCCTTCGGAAGGGATTGATCTCCAGATATCCAGCCGCAAGGACAAGACAGTGTCCTGCGACGATCTAGCCCGTCAGAACGTCGACGCGTTCGACGACCATTTGACCGACACCACCGCGTCCCTCTATCCCCTTGGAAACCCGTCGGTGACGAGCTTCAGTTCGTGCGACTTCGAACACACGAGAAACGAATCGCCGATGAGGAAGAGCAACAGCTGCGACTTCAAAGAGGCGAAGAAGTCCAGCTTTCCGTACGCTTTTCTACGATCGAAACTCTCCGTCCTGCCCGAAGAACGCCACAGCACGTTCGCGTCGAAGGACGAACGATTATTCAAGACCGCCTCCGAGGAGCATTTCCCTACATTGAAGATAGAGGACACGTACACCGGCACAACGACATTGGGTAGACGACGTTCGAGAACCGGGAACTTTCCGCGAGGGAATCCGAGTAAATCTCAGCCCCAAGAATCCTCGGCGCCTAAGACCGGATTCAACGCGTACACGGAATTACGGAAGAATTCGAGCAGGTGCGAACAAGACAGGTTCAGTCTAAATCCGAGCCAGTTAGAGAGGATCGACGACCACTTCCAGCAGGAAGACATGGGTTGCTACAGCTCGTACGACAGCAGCCCGATGTCCCTTCGAGGGAATATCCATCAGCCCGATCCCAATCAGGACAGGATCGACTTCGTAGGGAAGATCAACGAGTCCAGGTTTTCCGAAACGTCGTCGTTGAACGTGGATCTGGATATGGTGCCCACGCTTCGAAATCATAGAAGGAATTCGGCGCCGAGCGGCGAGCAGAGACTCTCCTCTCACTATGTGAGCTCGAACGAATCGGGGTACGACAGCGACGGACCTAGAGGAGAATCCGCCGCAGCTTCGGAGAACGAGGGGCTGAGCCTGAAGTGCACGGATAGCTCGGATACCAGCAGCGTGGTGGACTCCGAGCTGGAGAAGCCTATAAGAAGTTCCACGCCGAGCGAGTGCCAAGACCAGGAAAACAACCACGAGTCCAGGACGAAGGAAAACTCCGAGGCCGATTCCGTTAGAGAGGGGAATTCCGAGCTGGCCGATGGCATCGACGGATTCAGGTGGCATCAGAGCAACTCTGGCAGGCTGCTACCCAGCATTCATCAAACGTACGACGACGCCGCGATGAATTCTCAGTTCCCCGCCTATAGAAACGGATTAAATAGTTTGCAGAGCTCTCCCCCGAAATCCCTCGATATTTCACCGCATCGTATGAGACTGCAGCAAGATAAGTCTAGGTTCCTCAGCGACATCATTCAACCGCCGAAGAGGGTCCGACGATGTCGTCTGGTGCAGTTGCACAAAAGGGATCCGAAAGAGAGCTTGGGGATTCGGTTGGCCCAACAGAGATTAGGGGAACTTCGGTACATCGTCGTGCAGCTGGAGAGCGACGGTATAGCGCACAGGTAGGAAAAATTCTTTTTCAAATATTTGAATGTTTTTAGGAAACAAATAGCCCATGCGAACAGTGAAATATGTACAATTTAGTATGAATAGACTGCAAATCGTTATGCAAACTTCTTCACACTTCTTCGAACTTATCGACGTTGATTCGTTATAATTATTAAAATTTTGCTTTCTTTTGTATCTTCATATTAATTATTATATCATTTCGCATAATAAGCATAAAAGCATAGTGCAGTTTCCAAAGATGTCTACGTATACTTAAGTCTATGTGTACCTTATGTATGCGGTTTTATAAACACCGTAGGACTTGAAAACGTCCACGCATTAAAAAATTAGTAGCGCCATTTGACTCCCCACTCGAGATACTAAAGCACATGTATCAGTTCGTCTTTTTCATATCGCGTGTCTACGAGATTTTTTACAATCTCAACTTAAATGGGTCACTCTGTCCGATGTCGACTTTTTAAGAAAAATTAAAAATATTGCAAAATTGCTGTCAAAAATTTTCGAAAAGACTGTTTTCGCGCGATGCCAACTGGAAATGCTAATTCTTATCAAGATTTATCGAAGTAAGCATGAATTTCCAAGCCAAACATCTTCAATTACGAAAAAATTGAAAATATCGCAAATCAAATGCTTTAATAAATTTTGACGACATCATCAAATTCGTAAATTTAGATTGAAGTCGATCTGTCCATTATAAATTGCATGTATTACACAGTTAATAATATGTAATAGCACTAATGATAAAATGTATCGTCACAAACATTATTTTGCGCAACCTTATCCCCAAATCTAGCGAGCACTAAAACTGTGTTGTTTCATATTAGGTCGTGGAAGGGTCGTTTTTGAAATTAAATGAATATTTTATTAGCCAAAATATGCGGCATTCGGTTGGACACATTCTTCCACATTTTTTGCGTTTAGAGTTTCAATCAGAAATATTCGTTTTTAAAAAGAATACCAAAGATTTCTCTACGATTTGTGAGGGATTCATATGACACAACCTAATACAAATAACCAGATTGAATTTACCGAGTTCTTTGTGCAATATTTAGATCAATATGTGTCTGATTAAGAAATGAATCACTTCCAATTTCAATAATTATAAAATAAAAAAGTTTGATATTAGTCATTTGACCTAGGGTGGTAGATTTAATATTAAAAGTCAGTATTCTTCAAATGATATTCTGTATTCACGTCTATGCTGTGCTCGGGCGTAGCATGACGACAGAGTAGGTCACGCCTCATTAATGACGCCGGTACTTCCAGGTGATAATTTTATGAGTTCCGCATGCTTTATTCATTAATTGAACTGGATATTATATGATGTGTATAATAATACGGGTCTAATTCCATAATGACTTGGTAATAGCAACTCCAGCTTCTTAAAAATATTGAAATTAGTATTAAAAGTATAATATTAAATATATTAAATATAATATAATAATATATAATTTGTATCGTATTTATGGTTCTATATATCTTACATATTGAATTTTATTTGTATTAGTCAAATTGTACACTTAAACATTAATCAATATCGAAATTGAACGTATAATTTATAGAATAGTTGAAACTTTTCTTGATGCTGAATTATATGTCAACTTTCTTATACTTTCTTATTATTCTTATCCGGGCACAACATTTTTTTATTTGAAACGAAAATAAGAAACAACTATGTGAAATAATTGAATTCGAACCGTCATGCCGAATGCGGTTATTTGAAAATTAAGATAATATCGATTTGAAATAATAGCAACTTCGGATAATGAATTATTTCGTAATTTTTTAATATTTGAAGATAACGAAAGAAATGATCCTCAAAATAATATGTAACAGAAAAAAACAAAGAACTCTTCCATAAAGATATAATCTTCAATTAATATATACAACAACAAAATTTTATTTTAAAAAATCTACAGGAATTTGCTTCGAACACAAATCCCTTTCTTCAGAAAGCTCATCTTAAATAGATTTCCCTCTTGTTCCACCTAATATCACCACGAAAGAAAATATTCCTTCTACTGGTGCGAAAAATAGAGAAGAGAGTGGTGGATAATCATTTGGCATAATTAGATCGATCTTTGATCGTCAATGAGTATGTCTGTATAAACATTTCTCCGAGCTGATATAATTAGATCAGCATACAATTTCTAAGAGGAATTTTGCGATTATTTTCAATAATTATTTGAAATAATTCTAAAATAAGGTAACACGCATTATTTAAAATAATATTTCAAACAGTGATTGCAAAGTGATCGCAAGCATAAAAATAATTACGAGATAACATAACATGTTATTTTTTTTTAACCGGGTCTGCTACACACACTAACCAAGGCAAAATGTGACCTTTGTAGGGACGGTAGACTGAGACTCGGTGACGAGATCGTCGAGGTCGAGGGCAAGGAGCTCAGAACTCTGGAGAGCCTAGAGGAGGTCCAAGATTTCTTGAAATCCTTTACCGGTAACAAGATACGTTTAATTACCGCCTACGAGGAGACAGTGCCGCAGGTGTACGTCAGTCCGCCAACATTGCTCGGGGAATACGAATACCTGGAAAACGCTAAGAATCTCTCCAGCCTGTCGTTGATCGACGGTCAAACGAAACAAGGTGCACAGTCGGAAAAGTCCGGCAAGACCACCGAGGAAAACGTCCAGTTAACGAAGAGGCCAGATTTTCTACCCCTTTCTTGTTTGACCAAGGAACGAAAGAGCGCAGAGAACGGTCTCGAATCGACAACGGAACCGCAGCATTACTTGACGAGGCATATCGCAAAATTTGAGAAAGGTTATGGAAAACCTAGCTTGGGTTTCAGCGTCGTTGGAGGCAGGGACAGTCCCCGTGGTGAAATGGGGATTTTTGTCAGAAGGGTTTTCCCTGGAGGTCAAGCCGACGTCTCGAAATCACTATTTCAAGGTACGGTTACCAATTGCTATTTTTATTCGAACGTAGAACAATTTAATAAGAATATATTTATTTTTCAATACTTGTTCCCCCGGGATCACAATAGTTTCCCGGGGGGGGGGGGGGGGGGAATACAGCAACACATCACCATTCGCGGAGGGTATAGCGGAACAAGTTCCTTAGAATATATAACATGAAACATTTTTTTTATTTATCTTTTCTTATTTATTGACGACTTACTCTGAAACGAGGAATAACTTATATGACCACATTAGATCGTTGTACGTTGTAGTATAATAATTTGTACGTGATCGTCATTATGTTTAGAATAATATTAGATTTACTCGGTGAATCCGTTTGTTAGATTTAAGGGGTTATATCTTTTTAGCCCAAAATTGATAGTATCGGTGTGAATTAATTCTATAGTCAACGGGCTTTTCTGTTGTGATAATTATTGTATATGGCGTTAGCACAAATTATTTTCCATAAGATAAATCGGTACGATTGTGTGCGTGCAGTGTCTTATACACAGTGTGATAACTCGTTTTTAAGACTGAACCAATAAAACACGACAGAAACAAAGTACACAAAATCTCATGGTTTGTTTTATTCAGAATAATCTCCTCTTGATTCAATATACTTGTTACAGCAATTCGAAAGGGATTCAAATGGATGATTCAGCTCATTTTGTAGTATTGGACTTAAACAAGCATCGTCATACATTTGCCGTATCAACCGGAATGTTTCTGATGCACTTTCTTTTAATAACCGCTTTTTGTTCCGTGACACAATTTCAACATCGATTAAAGGTTTGGTGAGAAATAACTGTCATAACTTTGTCATTTATCATTCGATTGGCACGAACATAGATGCGTTAGACAGTCAAATGATTGACCTTTCTAAGGATGTTAACGCTTAGCAGATGTCGCCACTACTTGCTGAGATATGGTGTCGGTTTTAAAAATTAATTGTCACACTGTGTAGTATCGATGCAGGGATTGTGTCCCTCAAGCGATGATCACGGTTTGTCATTAGTGGTAACGTCGTGTCAAATTGACTCGGTATCAGTAACGGTGACTTGATGTCCAATTGACTCCGTATCAACAATGGTGACACGATGTCAAATTGTCTGCCTATCAATTGATACTGACTTGACGTTAAACTGACCCCATGTCAATAGCGGCACCATTAGCGATGCGATGTTAATTTGACGGCAAATCACCATTAATTGATGCATAGTCAATTTGACGTTATGTCACCATTATTGATACAACGTCAATTTGACGTCATGTTACCATTATTGGTACAACGTCAATTTGACGTATACCTTTCTTGAAACGTATTAGGAAAAAAATCAATGAATATGAAAACCCGATAAGAAATTGTTATAATTTTTGAAATGTATTCCAAATTTAATTATACTATACTATAACGAGCACATATATATTTATTTTACGTTGTAAGAAAAATAACGTGACTTTTATAAAAGAACATTAAATGTTCTTTTCGTTGATATATCTACCGCATTTTTTAATGACTTCTTGGACTAATATTGGCATCTGTTTTAGTAGTTTTTCGGGTTGCATTTCATAGTATGTTCCACGTATTATGAAACTATGTCTGGAATCGATGCGTGCCGTACCGAGCGAAGAGTACCAAATGAACTCAGAATACATTTTCAATGATCAAAATGCAATAAATGGTGAACACTTATAATTTAATATGTACTTCCGTCAATGTGATGCCACGTTGCAGACTTGCATACATTATGTAAATCGAATGAAATATTACAACTTATACCAAATAAGCATGCATCTTAATACTTTTGTACGGGGGTGTACATCGCTACTAGTGTTAGTAGTCAATTTGACATACGTCATCACTCTAAGATTAACCTTGTGGTATTCGTTCTCTGTATAGCGCGAATCTAATGAAACTACCGAGCACGGTAGAATTCCTTAGCGCTGTACACAAGCACATGAAAATAGCCCAGATGCAATACAAATAATCGATGCACCTGAGCCTAGATGATCGCACTAGGATCTCTCGATGACCTCCGCTGCTCCTTCTAAAGCCTTACGTATCTAGAACGTAATCTCTCGTGTCACCATTCCTTTCTTAACGTGACGCAATCCATCGGGGATTTCTTGTCCGGATCATGCAAGGATTTCGCTTTATCGACATAGCTCACCGTTTCAGGATCAAAATATAGCGCGCGCGCGAATTCGCGTAGCAAAGAAATAGAGAAAGAAGAGGAGGATGGTGTCAATGTGTCACGTACGCGTCGTCGCTGCTCGTGCATTCGCATAGCGAACGCTTCGAACACATTTCGAATCTTTAATCCAACATTTCGCATCGTGTGCATTTGTAAACAGCTCACCCTTTTGCTTCCTTTCGGTCTTTCGTTTCTCGTTCTCCTCCCTCTATTTTACAACATCCCATGGCTCCTTAACAGCTCATGCGGCACAGAAGGTCTCTTGCCAACTTGTCAGCTTCGCCAATGTGATCCCTTTTACCGTTTGCACAGCTCTCTGTCAACAATCACTGTTTGCATAACTTTTCGTCATATAGGACTTCCCGATTGTTCGAAATTTAAGGATACACACGTAACATTCATTCTAACGCTAGAATCCCGGTTGTTTCTTCCTGTTTGAAAGAGAACGCGATTTTCCTTATCTTTTTGCGAGTTTTAACACGTTGTGTGTTCAACATAAACTTCGATAATTCGCATAAAATCAAAGTAGTTCGATTAACCATTTTCACTACGACATTTTTCACAGATGATTTAATTAGCATTTCTTCGTCCTTAATAATATCTCAGGTAGAACGAGACATTTTTTGTTTCTTATATGTCGTCATTGACATCCCCTCCAAAAGCATTAGGACACTCACAGAAAATTAAATAAATTTGAAAAGTCGATTAGAAATTGTTATAATGTCTTAAATTTATTTCAAAGTTAATTACATTAATCTGTAACAAGTATGTATATGCAGGATGAACCACGCAACGTGATCAGTTTAATTTATTCTGTTGCCAGCGATCGTACTTAATGTTTTATTAAAAAATTATAAATAAACTATTAATGACATAAAAGCTGAAAAGTTACAATTTATAATAGCATAGCGTAAATCAAGTCATTCTTTCGTATTCCAAAAATCCTAGTTAACCAGTTCATTTAAATATATTCTTGGAAGAACATTGAACGGACGAAATGAGCAAACACGCATGTATGCCTCCTTGTGTTCATGTATTGGTATTAGACGTCCGCAAACGGACGACACGCGTGTCAGTCACGTAATGTCTCTCGGTAGTAAAAGATCGCGTATACATGTATATATATATACATGTATATTTATTTATACATGTATATTTAATAAAATAATGAATAATAACATGTAACATATCAATCTTCGGTCGAAACGTCAAATGGCCTAAATGAAAAAAAACCGAGCAAAAACGGCTCGGCATGGAACCTGTTAAACGATGGAGTGTCAAGTTAACTAGAACGAATGTTCACGGTTTAATCGAGCAGCAAAACATATCGGAGGTTTTTTTCTTCTTGTTAACTCTTGTTAACTCGACGCTCCATAGTCTTGAAAAAATTAATCGATCTATTACTGGTACGGAACGAATAAGTAAACAATCGCAAAACGAGAGAAAACCAAAGCTATCGGATGACGTATAAGACATATAGTTGCACGCAAAAGAGGTTAGTAACATGAGAACGGAATTTGTTCAATTCAATTTTATTAGTATTTACGTAACTTCTCACTGAATGTGTATACACATAATTAAGAAACATTTCTTGGTCATCAGAACTGTGTAGGAGTAAATAAAAATGAATCTTCTTTTTTTAAGTAAATAAAACATATTTATTACACGGTGCAAATCCTTTTATTATGTGTAAACGCGTTCCAAAAAAAAGACGTGACGTAAATACTAATAAAATTAAATTGAACAACTTTCGTTCTTGTGTACGAACAGTTTTACGGGAAACTGTAACTGTCAGGCAATTGTTATGCGGATAATTCCAATCGAAATTAATACCGTGTGAACTCACGGAAGGGATCTATTACACGAAAATTATCTGTACTAAAACTTAGGTCGTTTTATATATTCTCTGACCAGGAAAAAGATACTGCGTCGAAACTGCAGCCGAAGCGTGCAATGAGGATTAACGGAGCGAATGTACAACTTTGACCATTTCAGTGCTAAGAAAGGATGCGTTGCCCTTGCGCTTATGCAATTGAAGCGACCGACAATCCGTTATACAAGCATGCGGCAGGGTGCAGTGGCTCGAGGAAACCGCGGATATTCGCGTGCTCGTAAAAACTGTCAGGATCGGTTGAAACTCGAAACGTCTTGCGTGAAGCCCGCCTATATAACGTGTTGCCGCCTACCGCGCCAGAAGCCTGGCAAAAATTGCATAGGAATCGAGGCGACACGCGTGTCCGCGTTTGACTCAACGTTAAGACTGCGATCGAGATGCATTTCTTCTTGCCGCTAAATCCGAGTGGTTGGTCGGTTCAGATAAATCTCATCTTTCTATAAGACGACATACCCACAATTTCTATATTCTAATTGTTTCCTTGAACTATTGGGTTGGCAACTAAGTAATTGCCGATTTGTTCAATGAAATAAAAAATTTTTTTTACTTGGAACGAAGTTTAATCTGTAATACATTTTCCATTTTGTTCGATGACCTTTTGCCATCTCTCTGACAACTTGAAAATTCCACGCTCGTAGAAAGTCTGATCCTTTTCGGCCAAAAACTGAGTTAAGTGAGATTTTACAGCGCGTCATCGTCATTAAAAGTTTTACCACGAAGGGAGTTGTCCAGGGATCGAAATAAGTGGTAATTCCCAACCCAAAATTCCCAACCAATATCCATCAATTTTTGCCGAGTGGACAAAGACGTGTGCGGCCTAGCAATGTCCTGGTGGAAAATGACACCTTTACGATTGACCAATTCTGGTCGCTTTTCCTCGACCGCTGCATTCAATTTGTCCAGTTGCTAACATTCACAGATAATAAACGTGCCTTAGCACATTTGCAAATATAGTAGCGACTTTCTTATCCGAAGCTTTATTTTTGTGATATCCAGACAACAAAACATTCTATTGTCTAAATACTTCATTCAAGTTCTCTACTAGGTAGTAATGTATTGAAAAGTGCAATGATTAGATAATAGAACGTTCCGATATCAGAATATTGTAGAAATAAGTGTTCGGATAAGGGAGTTTCTACCATACTTATTACCTTACTTATTACCATACTTATTACCATACTTGTTACCATGATTTATAGATTCCATAGAAATACACATTGATCAACTGCGTTACTGATTTCCAGAATGTTCCCGTTAATTGCGACGAACAAATACATACGTATAGAATTAAGAAAAACGCCGGTACAAATTATCGCGAACACCTTGTATATAAATATATGTATTTATTATACAAGGACGTAGCACGTAAGTGATTTCTCATTTTCAGAGATACTTTCAACACGATTCTGGAGAGTTCGGTGTCGATAAATCTACCGTGTCACGGGTTAAGAACCTTTTCAGAACAAATAATTAGTGGTTACGATAACTGGCGACGGGTTTTCGGAACTTATTCACACATTTTCCTTCTTTTATTTTTAGTTTGCTATTGCAACGGTGAAAATGAGTATTTCCTGAAAACCAGTCTGTAGCTACTGACGAGAAGGTAGCATGTTTTTCGGGTCATTGATTTAGTTGAAACATTGAAAACTTATAGATTCTAATAGATATTTATGATTAAAGTGTTTGTTATTTGTTTCGGTAATGAATAACATTTTTCGTAGACAGTGAAAAGTATTAATTTTGTAATAATAATAATAATAATAATTTTTTTATTTTCGGCTTCATGAAAATGATACAATATTTTACATTTTACATAACGAATAAATTCAGTATCTTGTTATTTACAAGGGAAGACATTTTTGTAAGTTTCGGCATACGAGGTATAATCAATTTAAACAGGAAAATAGAAAAAATTGCAAAATGTTAATCTAACAGGAGATTTCGATCCAAATCATGTACGTCGTAGAATTAGAAGGTTGGTCACTTTTAAAAGTACTAAGAATATATTCCGCAAAAAATGTGTCAAAAACTTAAATAACGAAAGGAAAGATTAACGGAGAATAATGTGTAATTGATAAATTTGCAAACGCGCAAATAATATTAGAAATAGAACTTTTGCTTAGAACTATTATATTCATACAACCTTTTTTTCATTGTGTTTCAGGTGACGAAATATTAAGTTTGAATGGGAAGGTTCTGCGTGGTTATACACACCAAGAAGTTATCGAATTGTTTAAGGCGGTAAGGGAGGGTCCTATTGAGCTAGAGGTCACGAGAAGACACAGGTATTTATGTGAACTAGTATGCGCACATAGTTTTACAAGAGTCTTACGCGACATTTGCCGAATATACGCTTCTCAATTTATTAAATGTTGCGTCAAATTTGATTTAGTAAAATATATATTCTGTTTTAGGTATCCAAAATCTACACAAAAATCTGCGGCATGTTGAAAGGTAGGCAACATGGACGAAACTGCCCACCGGAAGTGCTCTTTCAATTTATAATTCTAAGCGATCTACCGTTCGCTCCGTACGAAGTTTTAGGATTCTAGTCTATCAGAACGAATCTACGATCTTTGATATTTGTTTCAATTAATTTATTTATCGCGGTGTCGCAGTTGCGTAGTTTATTATGATGTGGTTATTATTATTAATATTATTATTATTACTATTATTATTATTATTATTAATATTATTATTATTACTATTATTATTAATATTATTATTATTATTACTGTAAGATTTTATACGACTACGTTCAAGCAACGTGAATCCATTGTATGCGATCATTTTTTATTATAGAGGACAATAAAGAGGACATACTTTTAAGGTGCTTTTAAGGATCTATTCTGCAAATGTGTTTTACGCAATAAACAACGGCATCGCATTGAACAATTGTTAAATAATAATTTTATTACGAAGAATCTTTACAAAATTTACAATATGTACAGGTCCTAGATTCATTTTTTACAAAATTTACGGAGTTTTCTTTTTACAATATTTCTTCTTGTACAATATAATCCTTCACGTGTCGACGAGTAAAAGGTCTGCGCACGATTTAGCCTTCGTTGCCCTGAAATGTAACATTGCAAGATATTTATATTCATTCCTAGGTCCTCTTTTTTTTAACTGATACTGTATACGTTAATGTTTACAAATAAAAAAGTGTCGTAAATTTCCCGCTACGAAATAGACATTTTAAATGAAATTAGATTCTCATTTTATAGGTAATCATACGTAGTACAAGCATCACGATATCTTAGCAAAGGTTAAGGCAATAGAGATATCCTTAAGGACTAAATTACGTGTCTAAGGCGAAACGTCAACGTATGTTTAAACATATAATAAAACAGGATCGGAGAATGTAAATCGCTCCAACATTAATAGAAGCACAATCGATATTTCAAACAATAGTTAGTTATGATTATCGCATAGCTCGTATCTTTGAACATGATAATTATATTTCGCTTTTTCAAAGTTTCTCAAAAAATAGTAAAATCTCATCAGCAAGGAAAATACATATTTTGTAGACCATTTAAAGGCTAGTATAACTATAAGAAGATTAATCTATACAAATCGTTCATTTCACTAAAATGTATTCTGATAACACTATAGTTAACAGAGGATAACTGAGGCTAAATAAACGTTCATAGTATTCATAACATTATGCTATAAGTTCTCGAGAGATAATCGCTTNTAATATTATTATTATTACTATTATTATTAATATTATTATTATTATTACTGTAAGATTTTATACGACTACGTTCAAGCAACGTGAATCCATTGTATGCGATCATTTTTTATTATAGAGGACAATAAAGAGGACATACTTTTAAGGTGCTTTTAAGGATCTATTCTGCAAATGTGTTTTACGCAATAAACAACGGCATCGCATTGAACAATTGTTAAATAATAATTTTATTACGAAGAATCTTTACAAAATTTACAATATGTACAGGTCCTAGATTCATTTTTTACAAAATTTACGGAGTTTTCTTTTTACAATATTTCTTCTTGTACAATATAATCCTTCACGTGTCGACGAGTAAAAGGTCTGCGCACGATTTAGCCTTCGTTGCCCTGAAATGTAACATTGCAAGATATTTATATTCATTCCTAGGTCCTCTTTTTTTTAACTGATACTGTATACGTTAATGTTTACAAATAAAAAAGTGTCGTAAATTTCCCGCTACGAAATAGACATTTTAAATGAAATTAGATTCTCATTTTATAGGTAATCATACGTAGTACAAGCATCACGATATCTTAGCAAAGGTTAAGGCAATAGAGATATCCTTAAGGACTAAATTACGTGTCTAAGGCGAAACGTCAACGTATGTTTAAACATATAATAAAACAGGATCGGAGAATGTAAATCGCTCCAACATTAATAGAAGCACAATCGATATTTCAAACAATAGTTAGTTATGATTATCGCATAGCTCGTATCTTTGAACATGATAATTATATTTCGCTTTTTCAAAGTTTCTCAAAAAATAGTAAAATCTCATCAGCAAGGAAAATACATATTTTGTAGACCATTTAAAGGCTAGTATAACTATAAGAAGATTAATCTATACAAATCGTTCATTTCACTAAAATGTATTCTGATAACACTATAGTTAACAGAGGATAACTGAGGCTAAATAAACGTTCATAGTATTCATAACATTATGCTATAAGTTCTCGAGAGATAATCGCTTATTGATTACGTTGAAACGTTACTATACTCACTGTAATTCCTTATTTTTCACGCGTCTGCATAGGTGTAAGGCAACTGGTCCAGTTTTGGTATTACGAAAAAGTTGGACGGCCTTTCTATGGGTTAAGTCGTGACAGACGTGGCCATTTACTGCCAAAATCTCGTCACCTGCTCGCAATCGGCCATCTTCTGCGGCTTGGCCGCCAGGCAATACTGACTTTATAAAGATACCTAAAGCAGAGAAACGGAACTCGATCAACGATAAAGAATATATCAAAATTTTATAAAAATAGAGTTAATACGCAGACACAGTAGACTGTTGATACGCGAATTTCGCATATAGTTTATATATCCAATATCTCAGATTTCCAACGTGGTAGCGTTCACAAGTATTTATTAGACTGCAAGGAACTTTTCACGATATTAGCCGACAATCTGACTGTTACAAACAATCAGAAAAATTACAGAAGTCCAATTTAATTCTTTCTCAATGATTCAATTCAAATGAACTATGAATTTCAGAAAGATACCGCGAGCATGTTCAATTTATTTGGCTATTCATTTTATTTATATCATCAAACATTTGTTCTGCAATTATATTGACCCTTAACTGGTGCATTGGGGTCACTCATGATCCCAACATTGTATACATATTTCGTTCTGCAATAAAAATTTATTTTCCACCTTAATACATTAATCAAGAATATAATATCGATGCAGCCTTTTATATAGAATTAGATTGACACATTTTCGTGCACCTCTCGTTTGGACTCGGTCATGACCTCGGTATACTAGCGAACTTAGTAAAAGTCACTGTACCAGTTAAGGATTAAAATGTAACAATTCCATCCGCTGATTTATCGATTGACCAATTTTATGCGATCAAAATATTAGTGTATAACTAAGGTTTTTATTGTATCAACGACGTTCCATATATTTCTAACTTATGGATCTCCAGTAATCGTTAAAGAAAAAATTAGTAGACTCTCATATCAGATTGCAAGAGAACGATCGAGAGGTTGCACCGATTTAATAAAATATTGAAAAGCCGCGACTGTAGTCTACGACGTTGCCCGTAGCGTCGAAACGCAGCGGTGATGTTGGCTATGTTTGCGGGCGCTGCGGCATCGTAACGAGCGCGTAAAACTCGAGACCTCTTGTATACATGCAGAAGCAATTTATCGGCAACGCGTATAGCGGTTGAGCAAGCGCGTAAATGTTATGGCAGGAAACCGCTGCCATTTCTAAGCAGCACCGGGTGCCACGTTTGAGATGATATTTCTGCTTGTTTGCGAACCGACCCTCTCCAAACACGCGTCCCCAGGAGCGAGGAACGCGCTAGGATAAGATGTTCTGCAGTTCGCGACGACAGGATTAACACTCGATAACGCCGTTTCACAACGAACATCTGCATAGTATTCGTCGTTGATTTTTATGAAACTCTGCTGTATCTTTGAAGTAGCCAAGAATAAATGGCAGACACTTTTCTTCGCTCCCCCGAAAGTATCGTCTGCCGAATAATTTTTAAAAATCTTCAACTTACAGTTAAAAACGTCTTAATAAATTGTTCAATGGCAATAGCGACTTCGATCGTGTATGAACAAGTCAGTCCAGTAACATAAACAAGTTCGTTTAGGATTATCAGAACCTTTCAGGAGGCTCTCGATAAATAAAGTATTAATTATTACACGGTTTGTCTTCTACATGTAAATAGAAGAACGCACACAGCCTCTTTCTAGATCATTTTGAAGCGATTAATTGTCAAGTTTGATGTAACAAGTCCTGAAGAGTAGAAACTTATTCTAAGTTTATCGGTGAATTCTTCCTGATTTTTGATATTTTAAAACAAATGCGAGCTGCAATGTGCATCTACATTGTTATGCAGGAAGCATAAAACTTAAAAACTGTTATAACTTGTTAGAACTTGTTAACTGACTAAATACTTGGGTACTTCTATATTTTGCTGTTGCTAAAATATTGTCGAAGATCCCTGTATTTGTTGACTATTGTCCGATTGCGTTGACTATGCCAGAATGAATATCGAAACATTGCAATGCTAACTATGCAAAATTTGTAACAATGTTGTTATAAGTGACCATTTCGTTACAAGTGTCTCTTGTCGTTTATTTTCGATCACTTTAGAGACACTCGAGGAGTTTCATAAAAATCATTATTACATTTTTATAGAAAACGTATTTTAACCGTAGCATAGGAAATTAACTTAATTTACATATACATACGTACGTGACTGATGACTTTTTTAAAGAACAAGTTGAGTAATTTATTTTAAGAGGATATTGCGAACAAACGATTTTGAACTTTTTTGAAGGATTAGTGTAAGTAATTAACCCTGAACCCCAATATTAGAACTAATTAAGTATGTATGTAGTGTTACTTTGCTAAATAATTTAACACAACGTAATGTTATAATAATGAATAACCGCATTACTGTTAACGATGCTTGACACGAAAATGTTGAAGCTTCTATAAAAAAAAAAATTTATATCGAAGTTATATAGTAAGTAATACCCTAAATGCTTTACCGAGATTAGTATGTTAATGTTAACTGATCTCATTTGTAGCAACTATGTAGTGTGATCGCGGTGATGAACTATATTAATTATACTAGAATTAATATATCAGTACAAACTGAAAGTTTGCACGGCATAAAACTATTTAAGATATCGCATAATTCCTGGAAATATATACATATGTATTAATCAAGAATTCAGTAAAAATATGTTCTACAAATTAGTAAAAGTAATCAATACGTAAATGCAGAAATGAATTTGTGAAGAATAGAGATAGGATAAAAAATGATATTCTTTCCGTCGAACCATCTTTGGTTATCATTCTATGCAAGATATAATTTTAATTCGAGAACGCTCTCACCATGAAAATATATACATACATCATTTTTCCCGGAGAATTTACTTTGTATAATTATTATTAATACTTTTATACCGCATTTTTGTATTTACGTGTGTACATATGTTGAATTAGAAATTACGAAGTCGTATAATCTTTTTTCACATACTACAGAACACGTACCAACAATATTGAACATTACAGAGGAATTTTGTTACTCTATAAGTAGGACATTTTTTGGCATCCTCGAAAACTTGAGATCACGGTTACGTTAGGTACTGTATGAATATTATTGAATAAAAACAGATTGAGAACATTATCCGACTCACCGATGCTTCCTTTAGGACTGTCGCTTCCGCCTACAATCGTGAATCCCAATGACTTCTTTCCCGGGCCTTTTTGAAAAACGACCGTCAGGAACGTCGACAATGTACTCCTCGGTCTTCTCGGCAAAGTGCAAAAGTTAGAAACACTCTGCGATCCACTGTTGTCCATGTTCAGAACCGATTTCTCCGAAGATATGGATTTGTTGGATTCGTTCCGCCTGTCACGATGGTGTTTCGTGTGATGTTTCTTGAAATGCGATTTCGAGGAGTTATCGACAATAACCCCGTGTCCGTTCTCCATGTTAACGTTCTCGTAATCAACGCTGCTCTCCGTGAGCTTCTTCGACGACTGGTCCAAAGCGGTATACCTCGAAACAACGATGTCAACCTCCCCGGGCCCGCTGCCGCTTCCTAAGATTTGTCTAGCTTTCGCCATGTTGAGACCTCGCAGTCTCTTGCCGTTCACGATTAATATCTCATCCCCTATCCTCAAAGTTCCTTCTTTATCGGCGAGACCGTTCGGCACCACGTGGGCCACGAGGTAGCCAGGACTCGACTCTGCCGTCTTCGCGATGAAAATACCCAAGCACTGATCGGAGCTCTCTCTGAAAAGCTTCACGACCATCGTTTCGGTAGCGTATGGCCTGTTTCTGATAACGGGTAACTGGCCACTCCGGCAGTTCTCCGAAGCTGAGAACTCTTTGGACTCCGATCCCGCGACGTTTTTCCTGTCGGGTGGCGTCGAGTCATCTCTGTCTCGCCGATCGATCAACTCGCTGTTCGCAGCTTGACACAGCTGATTCGTAGAATCTTCGAGCTCGTGCAGCCTGGATATGTCCGTCTTGCAACCTCTGCCTTCGTTCCTGCCGCAGTAAACGTCCAGGCTCGAGAACAGGCGCGTCGTCCTCTCGACATCCGCGATGGAGGACGACGGTTTCCTAGGCGGTAGCTGCGGCGGAGAATGTAACGAATCGTTGAGACCGGTCAACAAGCCGGAAGCACTGCTGCTACATCTGTCATCGAGTAGCGAACTGGTTGCAGAATCGTTATCCAGTATCCCGGAGTCGTTGTCGTCCTGATCCTGTTCCTCGTAAAGCGGATTCGTTCGAAGTTCCTCAAGGCCAGGCAGAGTACCGTACGAGAAGCTTCTCAGACGTCTTCTTTCCCTATCTTTGCTGTCCTTTTTGTAAATTTTCGCGATCAACTTGTTCGTAGAACTTTTCAGGTATCTGTCCTGCATCGCTCGAAACTTGGCAGCCAAGCAACTGGACGGTGTAATGCTGTCGAACTGGGAACCATTTTTGTACGCCGGATCATCGGTGCTCGCAGAAACTTCCGTTTCCGCGGGCCTCGCGGAGCTGTTATGGTCCTGAACGAACTCCTTGCTCTTCCGCCACCTACGGTTCCGATGACTGACATCTTCCTCGATTACATCCCTCTTTGATAATCCTGCCGACGATGGAACGGACATGGGACGAAATCCAAGGAACGAGAAACGTTCTTCCTGGTGCTTCCTGTATGGTAGCCTGCTCTGAGATTTCGAACGCCTTTTTCTCTTCGCCTGGGTTTTCTCTTCTTCTATGATCTCCTTCAAGTCCGACTCGCAGACGGACCGTCGGAATTCGTTTCTGCTTAAACCGTGCTGACTCAGTTCGCACATTGAACGGAATTGTAACTTCTCCGGATCCTCTTCCTCTTCCTGATCCTCGTCGTCGTCGGAATCGCGATCCTTGAAGAAACTCAGTCTGGTGTTCATCACCCGGTCCAGGATGGGATTCCTTTTCTCACAGATCCGTCGTCTTTCTTCTTGAATCCGTTTCTTGTCCTTCTTGGTGGAACTCCGCTCGGTCGTTACTTTGGACGTTTGCACGTTGTAACAGTTCCTTTCTGACTCGGAGCTCGACGACTTACGACGAGCCCATCGTACTGGGGACATATCTGCGAAAAAGACGTTTCGGTTTTAATAGTTCGTTAGGTTTCGTAAAAACATTCGCGATTTGATGTTCGAATAAACGTAATAATGTATGAACACAAAAATATTTGTACAAAATACAAAGTAAATTTTATATATCGAATGCATATAATTACTTATTATTTATTTTTGAGAAAATTAGGAACCATTTGCAATATCAGCACAGAAGCAAGTAGGGATGCACGATATTTAAAATCTGTTTTCATTTGAAACGATTGAAAAACCCGTTCTGTACAATTTGCGATTTCATGCACGTTTGTTGAAAAAGAATTTTGCAGACATCGATAAACGAGTGAAAATGCTGTTCACTGATTTCGAAGTGTCAGCATGATGTTAATGCTTGACATCGACCGCCGACACTTTGGAATTCGACACCTCTCACGAATAAACGTGAGAGAAGATTTCTACCGTCGGCGTTCGACAAATGTCACTTTCATTGGTTGATTCGCTTTCTGAACCGAGGGTATACAACGCACAATTACATTTCAGCAATCGATGAATGAGAATACTGTTCTTCGAGTGATCAAAGTGCATCGTAGTAGATGCGTCACGCAGCACGATCTTCATCTCGCCGACACGATTTCTCTACGCCATCCAAACCAGTCGAAACTTCCCGCTGCAGTGACAGCCAAGACGAAAATGATCGTCTTCCGTGAAGCTTGACATTATATGAGTTCTAGCGGTGGCTCGACGCGGTTGTGCAGGATGTGTGTAAGGCAGGACATCCCGTATGAGCAATTCACATGAGTACGTTGCTGAAGCGATAGTAAAACTAGTCACGAGGTCCGCGAAGGCGGACCGGAGAGGAAGTAGACACTGGGAATCGAACAGACGAATCGGAAGTACCAATTGCTCTGGGAGCGGAATTCTTTTGCTTGGAACGAATTCATAGGGGAGAACGTGAAGCGTGTAACCGCGAATATACGACGAGGGAAGTGAACAGTAATTCTCTTTACTTCGACCGCTTATTTTGTAACGAACATTCGCTTGCTATCTTCTCAGCATCTGCCAGATACTATCATTTCCTCGCATTATGTTTCACTTCGATGAACAAATTACCTACACTAGGCCGATTAATTCAAGGATAACTTTTGAAACTAAAATTCGTGGATAAGTGAACGGCTTCGTGAACAAAAATTATACAATAGGCTACCTGGGCTCATATTAAAGGATGAACCCTTCGCTTTTATGCTCATCAACCTAAGACTTTTAAAGATGCTTTTCTATCGTAAAACGTAGAGGGGAATTGAATGTACTTATTTGCTCCTCGAGGTTTATAAATTCAAACGACTCACTCGTGGTAAAATCAACGCAAATCGGCTTGAATATTGAAATGCAAAAAGAAAAGTTTAACATTTTTTGGACATTGGACATGGTGTTTTTAAACATTGAAGAATACACTCGACAAATGCTGAGTAAATACATTTGTTATAAAATTGGAATAAATTATAATAAAGTAACTTTGTACAACTAGAAATGTAATTAATTCTTAAACAAACTAAATAATCTATTTACAATTAAAAACATATTAATTATAGTCGTCCCATAAGTTCGTGCCGCAGTGTGTTTATAATGCTAGCGTTACGTTTTCTAAACACACAGCGATGCAATGTCTTGGGTGACTAAACTTTTATCCTTCGGTTTAGTCCGTAGAAAGCATTCAAGAGTCACAGGTCGTCGAGTTATACAAATTTTGTATTTAATAGCCGATGAAGTAATGAGCGAAATGCGTGTCCATCTTCGTCACCTCATATTGTATGAATTCCGAAAGGAAAATACGGCAACGACTGTCGCAAATAGTATTTGTGTCGTTAATGGGGAAGGTATTTTATCGGTTTGTACATGCAGAAAGTGGTTTAATCGATTTCGGGAGGGAAACTCTAATCTGAAAGTTGAACCACGAACCGGTTGTCTAGTCAAGGCGGATGAAGGCAGAATTCGTAATCTGGTGAACGAAACGAGGAGTTCATCGGTGCGAGAAATGTCGGAAATGCTAAATATGCCAAAATTGATTGTACATAGACGATTGAAAGAAATGGAAGTGATGCCAAAGCTGGACGCATAAGTGCCTCATCAACTTACGGAGCGTAATAGACTCGATCGCGTGACAACGTGTATATCGTTGCTTGCACGTAACGATACAGAACCCTTTCCGAAACCCTCAGTTAAGAAATTTTATCGTATCCACTTCATTCTCCGGACATCGCATCATCAGACTTCTACCTCTTTCGATCGCTACAAGATTTTTTAGTTGGCAAGAAATTTCAGGTTGTAACCGCAATAGAGAGAAAATACTTTACAGAAATATTTTCATGATAACCCAAAAGAAATTTTATATTAACGGGATCACGTCGTTGCCTAGAAAGTAAGAAGAGGTTGTACAAAAATAGTATGATTACATTTTTTCGTAAGCTTCATAGGTAAGATTAAAATATTATTTCATATAGTACAAAAATAAATGGCTAAAAGCCTTGATTTTTTAAAAATGGCAGTAGGATTAGTCTACTAGATAATGACTAAAATGCTTTTTCAAATTTTGCTATTACTTGGAACGATAAAAAAAAATAGACATTCAATGAAACACAACAACGATGAAAATTTAAAAAATGCGGTAACTTATGTGCATGCTGAGAACTTCATCGATGTCAGATGACCTTGATCTGAGCTGTAAACAATTAACAATCGCGAAGACACTTTCGACCGATAACTGTAAGAAATCTGCAGTTTTCTAAATCTTTCAACACGTTCAGCTTGACTTCGGATTAACCGATTTCGGTGAAACTTTCCGCATGCGCATTCAGTGGTGTGAATAATTATAGACTCGGACTAACATTTACGTTCTTAATGATATTTAAACAAGAACTTAACAAAACATCCTGCCTATATATCCCTACATTATAGAAATAATGAAGAAAAGAAATATACAAGTATAGTTTTTGCTTTTGTTTTTGTTTAAATATCAGTAAAAATGTGAAAGTTACTTTGAATTTATAATTATTCACAGTGCTGTGACCTCTGTACAGTACCTCTTTCTGTGAGACATCCTGTATATTTGAAAAAAGAAATATAACAAAACGTCATTTCTGTATATCTCAATATTCGAAATGATAGAAAATAGAAATAAACAAATATGATATTTTTTTTAATTTTTCGTTTAGATATCGGTAACGATGTAAAAGTTATTTTGAATTTATAATTATGCACACCACTGTAAATGACCGAGATCTACGAAACGTACTTTTTTTCTTATAGGCTCAGAAAAACATGATATTTTTATTTTTTTTTGTCATTTCAATTAATAGCAAAATTGAAAATAATTATTTTAGTCATCGTGTAATAGTTTAGTCGTTCTGCCATCTAAGAACAATTCAAGTCATTTAGTCTAGCTTTAAAAAAGTTATACTGTTTTTCGAGTGGTCTTAAGTATATGGCTACCACTGTAAGTCCATATTCTTTCGCACTGCTTCTTGATTGTTGTGGTTCGTACATTATTATTATATCATTCAAACAAATTGCTTTTCTTACATGACGCGTATACTCGTTTCCGAACAAAAAATTGCCATCTTTCCATGGCCAGTACAAATGGAATAATTCATGTTAAATGAAATTAATGTAGAACACCATCGGTGGTCTTTGTTCCAAGACAATTTCATGAAATTGCAAAAGCGTAAAATTATCAGCATTATGTCTATTACTGGCAAGGATCATTATAATTTCGACTTCAGGGTAAACTCAGAGATAAATAATTTGGTGAAACACGCAATCAATTTAAAGATTTTAATCTCCTAATATGATCTCGGAATTGCATAAATACTTGAAATAATGAGACCTTACGATCCGTGCAAATATAAAAGCGAGTATAGGAAATTACAGGAAGCAGCATCGTTTGATATCTTCCTTCCTTGGATATCGACGGTAATAATAGAGAGTCTAACCATGAGTTACACGGTAAATAAACCGTAGACTTCGAAAGGATTGAAGAAAGCGTTTCACGGCAAAAACTATGGATATCACGCTCCTACGGTAAATGTATCATGGCGAACTGACAGAAGAGAAAATAGAGCACCGAGCATTACGTACTTTGAATAAAATAAAACGTTGAATCTTCTTTCTCGTATTACGAGATTATAAAATACCTGATGATTATAAGCGATATTGAAAACGTTATAATCTGTAGATTTTATAAAATTCTATAAGATTTTATATCTAGTTATACTAAAGTAATGTTAACATGACAGTTCTCATTACAGAACGAAAACAGTAACTTACAATCCTCGCGTGAAAAGAAGGCAACTTTGTGTTTACATTTCGCCTCTTATTGGTCGCCCCACTGCCGCAGCTAGTAAGAGGGGGAATGTAAACGCAAAGATGCTTTCCTTTCGCGTGAGTGGCTATACGTATGAATGGATTAGGATTATTATCATAATGGTGTAAGTGAAATTTTCAAAAATTTTAACTTGTGTCTTAGAATGGATTATAAAGTTATTATAACGTTATTAAATTGTAGAGCTACTATAAATTAACTTAACTCTAAATTATGTTAACAATAAATTTGGTCAGTAAAAACAATAACAGTCCTTGTTTCTCACTGTTGAAATTTTAGCCACGAACAAAAATTAATCTATAGTTTACTTAGTACTAAGATACTAAGATATCGGTTTACATTTTCGTCGGTTCCGTCAGCGGGCAACGACGGTGATGTAAACTGTATATAATAGATAACGCGATACATCGTCACCGGTACCATTAGATACACATCGTGCCCTGACTGTTTGGGGATCCCAGCGTCACGTATACAATGTGAAACGCGACAAATAAACGTCTCTGATTGGTGGATAAGACGAACCCAAGAAGGGTATAAAAGAAGCGTTTTTT